GCCGTGCTGGACTTCCTGTTGCAATGTGAAACCGTTCATGCCGAGCTGTACAGAAAAAAGCCAATAAAGACCAAACTAAACTCCATTTGCCTCATGGTTCTATTGTCAGTAAAGACTTCCTCCTTCACTTTGGGAACAAAATGAAGGAAAAACTTTGAACAGACTTCTTTTAAAATAACATAAAGCAGAGGAAGTCCATACAAAAATGTAAAACAACAAAGATTTTAGTTTTTACTTTTCAATAAAAACCAAACTGAATAGAAACGCGTCCATCCTGATGAAACCGCACTTGTCTTTAAAGCAGTTTGCTCCACACTGAGCGAACATCACAATCCAAACACTCAAAATAAAAGACCTGCATTCAGAATCTGACCTCATCATTCTGAGTTTGATTGTATTTGGTAATGATCTGAATCATGATGCAAGACAAAGTACATTTCATGTTAAATGCAGGCAAAACACTTTAAAAGTAACTGAGTAACTTTGTTACTTTTGCATGTTGTTAAAAATACAGTAAACAAAAAGAAAATGAACGTTTCTCAGGACTGTGTGATCTGCAGCAGAGCCAGAGTGAGGCCGGATGCAGTAAAGCACTTCCTAACAGGGATGAAAACATCCACACATTCCTGATGTCGGATTATTTTTATTTCCACACATGAAAAATGAAGTCAGCTCATCATCATCATCATCATCATCACCACATCGGTCGGTCGTTGTGTTCAATAAAAAGACAAATGTGCACATTAAATGAATATTCTGCATGTTAATAAAGAATCTGAAACTACATTTCCCATGATGCACAGAACAGCCGACTAACCCTGCAGATAGAATCTGAGGGGGCGGAGCTTCAGGTCAGAAACTACAACAAAACGTCCTCACGCGCAGCTTCAGAGTCCGTTTTTACAGCGCCGGAAGATCTGCTGGACCAGCACGGCCCGGCCTGGCCCAGGTTCAGGGTCAGCGCGGCTGTCCCAGCAGGCCAGCTTTAGCTGCCAGAGCCTCGTTCTGCTGGATGTGATACTCCTGGAAACGCATGGAGATCCTCTGAGTCATCTTCAGGTACTTCTGCAGGCACGACTCGGAGCAGCTCGACTGAAACACAAACGGCTGTGAGGATTTTATCCAGATGTTCCTTCACCTACATGTTTCCGTCATCCAATCATCTTTTTTTTACCTCCTCGGGCTTCACGTCTCTTGTGGTGAAGTCTCGGACGCAGTCCATGAAGCAGTTCTCCGTCACCTTGTTGTACGTCCCCAGAAACTCCTTAAACTGAACACAGGAAACAGACACGACTCAGAAAACGGCTGCAGAGCAGCAACTCAGCAAAACAATCTGAGAGACGACCGAGAAGGATCCGAGGTTCAGGTCTGGGAAGAAATTTCCTCAAACAGGTTTTAACCTCCGTCCTCTCGCTGCTTCAGGCACGCTCAGTTTTACTGATGCAGTCAACAGTTTTGGTTTTCTTCAAAGTGCTCAAAGACTGTGAAGCTGCTCTAAAGAGCCAAGGTGGGAGCTCAAATGTATTAACTCAGATCTGCGTGTGCGACAGAGGCTTCCTGCTGCAGGTTAAAACGATCAGAGCGATGCCACTGGATCAAAGCTGTGACTTTTAGTTTAAAGAACTTTTCTCATTAATGTATGAATTCAAATGTTTCTTCCGCTGAAAACGTCCAGGTCAACCGACGGGGCGACTTTTGGGATTATGATGTCATAATAAAAAACTTTCAGATAAATTCCTTTTGTTTTTTTTC